GTTACATTATATCCACAGATGAAGGGTTAGGATTCCTACGCCTTTTTTGGTAAGTGACACAATAAAATTCATAACACATAAAAGGCCCTCAGAAAGTTAAAATTGTGGGCTTTGTTTTGGTTATTTGGCAAAACAAAAATATTATCTCATGATCTTGGTGACACATTTAGGATAGAGATATCTGAGAACTGCTTCTAGAAATCCACTCCTGGATCCCTGGATTCCTGGTTGAGTTCACATTAAAATGACAGCAAAAGCACTTAGTCGATCTCTTAGAGTCAAAGGTGTTGAGGCTGTATTTGGAGTTGCTGCCTGTGGTATCCTGATGCTGTTCTTCAGCTGAGGACTATAAAGCCAGATGAGAATAAAGCTCTAAAACTATCTTTCCCTGTATCTTCTTATGGAGGGCTGTAATATGATATGAATTGGCATGTGAGTATATGCGATTTGCATCCTTATGTAGGTTTGCGAATGTGACCTCTCTACTCTCACAACATCTGGGCATTGTTTCCCTCACTATGGCTGGGCAAACAAAAGCATAAAGAGATGCCATGAGGTGCCTGAGATGATCGAGTACGGGAAGCAGGCAGAGCTAATGGACTGATTCCCCCTCCCTGTACTCCTTGCCAGCCAGCCTGCCTCACACACTGTCTTCCACTACTGCTGCTGCTATTCACAGATCCTTGGGAAAGGGGGGAATGCAAATGAAGGAAATGGAATTTGTTTCAGTTCAGCATTTTATCACTGAATCCAGAACTATTGGGCTAGCGGCACCCATGTGATTTGATATAATCGTGATCAAATTAATTCTAACAAAAATGTATATGTGTGGTGGGAACTAACGTGTTTTGGGGGGCAGGGAGGAACTGTAGACTTAAGAAAAATAATCTGTGTATGCCATCTAAGTGAATGATAATGACTGCTATTGTTTCTTTCTGTCCATTCAGAGATTAAATTGGGTTCAAGCAGCCTGGAACAAGGGGATGACGTGTCCTTTCCATCATCGACCTGCCAGGTGAAGATAACAATCTATAACTGGTAGCCCTGAGAGCTCCTGTAGCCCTTGTATAGACTGATTGATATTAGAGTTGGCAATGGTATTTGAAATGAAGCAGAATGATGCAGAGCTAAGGGCATGAGCTTTGGAGACAAATGGTCATAGGTTTGAATTCTACAACTTAATAATGGTGTGATTGGGAATTCCCAGAGGAAATCTTACAGGGGATGATTACACAGCATTTAGTACGTAGGTGATAATAATAAAGATAACAGGAATTACAGTAATTATTAAATCTGCATATACTACACACTAGTCACTGTGCCTAACACCAGAATATCTTATCTCTTTCAATATTTACAACATGCATTGAACTGTGGCCCCTGTAAAGAATGTCATATGTACTACAGAGTTTCAGAAGAAAGAGCAAATCAATCTCAGAAGAAACACAAACAGAATGCTCCTTAGACATGGGGGTGGTTAGACTTCACCCTGCTTACTTTGGACACACCATCAGGAAAGGCCAATTGCCAAAAAAAAAGACATTATGTTTAACAGAAGGTTTGATTGACAAGAGAAATTTTCAATGAGATGCATTGACATAATAGGTGCACAATCAATTGTCCAGAAGATGGCATAGGTATGGGCAATATGTCCTCTTATTATATGTAAAGGTACCATGAGTTGGAGCTGACTTGATGGCAACAAACTGCAATAGTTATTGTTGATTTAATCTTCTCTGTTGCTTTCTTCCTTGATGGAGGAAGGACATCGGGCATTGTGCTAGGTTTGGAAAACTCGTCCTTCCTCACAGGGTTTTCTTGGGTTTTGTTGAGGGTGATGGTGAGGGGATGGAAGGTAGGTGAAGGGCAATAAAAAGGACAAAGGAATACAGCAAGAGAAGGGTTATCAAGGGGACTATGGGAGCAAGAAGAAAAGAGAATATAAAACAGGCCAGAAACCTAATTAAAACCAAACCAAAACTGTGATAGGTAGGTTTATTGTGCCAACCTGGCCAATAGGAACATGTGGGATTAACAAGGTTGCAGTTTGATTGGAGGGCAAAGACATACATGGCTCAGCAAACCCCACCTCTCTCTCTCTTGCTCTCTGGTGATTAGACCAGTGTGTGGTTGCCTTAGCTAATTCTCTGCCTTAACTTGCAGGCTACACTACCTGTGGGACACCCAACCCCTGGAACATGTCACTAGAGCTTGAGGTTCCTTCAAGACCTGCTTCACTACACTGCTGGTGTATACATTGCTTGATTTGGGACTGTTGGATCTTGTCAACTGGCTAGCTGTTGATGACCTGCCCTGCTGTTTGCTGCCTGTGGCCAGACTGCCTGCATTGCCATACGGAAGACTCAGCTATCTACTCCCTTGACCTTGGACCAACAGCCCTCATGAGTTGAAGGACTTCCAGTATATTAACTGTTCCACAGAAATGAGTCAAACTGAGCCCTCTGTACTGCTGTGTGGAATAATTAGCTGTTATATTCCTTGTGCGATATATATATATATATCGCACAAGGAATATAACAGGTAATATATATATCCATAAGTGTCCTGGTTTTGTTTCTCTAGAGAACCCTGTCTAACACAAAACAAAACAAAATTTCACTGCTATAGAGTCCATGTCAACTCAAAGTGACCTTATAGGATAGGGTAGAACTACCCCTGTGGGTTCCTGAGACTGTAACTCTATAGTGGTGTAGGAAGCATCATCTTTATCCCACAGAGTAGATGGTAGCTTCAAACTGCTGACCTTGAGGCTACATTACCAGGGCTCCTGGCTAGGAATCCTCCAAGTATGTGGCACAGAGGTTTCTGAGTTCAAGTCCAGGACTAGACCCCCATCCTTGTTGCCTGGTTAGACAACATCACTAAATACAAGGCTCTGGGAAAGATTATCCCAAGGAAAGGATTACTTTTTAAAATGTCTTATTATAGAAGCTTTCAAATCTATAAAACACAGAAAGAATGGCTACTATATCCCCATCCCTCAGAACTGACAGTTCATGACATTTTGTCAAATAAGTCTCCTCTTGTGAAAACAGTTAGTGAAGCAATTCTGTGTGTATGGCGTGGGGTGTGGGGTGTGTGTGATGAGATAGTTTCCATGCCCATGTCCCCTTGTCCTCTGTGTGTAAACTAGATCCCCTTCTCTCCCTCCATTGTGCAGGCACCCACAGTTCTAACACAAGAGTGAGTATGGCCCATGTACCTACTGGTCACTGCTGGCATAAAATAGCTCCACATACGTGCTGGAGTAGCAGTCTTATAACTGGCAGGAAGTGTTATGATCGCTATAATCAGATCTGCATTCTGCATTCACAGCTTTTCTCCCCCGACATCAGTTATAATCACTGGTTTGGTGAACAATGTCTTAATCATCACGTGGTTGATGTAACATGGGCCTTTTTAACAAATGAATGGGACAAATGGGACTCATTGTTAAGAGGCTGGACCTCATTAGGTAAGTGTTGTCACCCCCATCCATTACTTGGCAATCATGTGGTGAATGGTAGACTTGATTGAGAAAATAGATTTGGACTCGGTCTTTTCTCTCCTTTTCCTCCATCAGCCCATGTCCCTGGAAAGGAACCTCTTTCAGGCAGCAGGCCCTGAGTGGTGATTCTGAAGGCAAGAACTTTTTTTTTTTTTTAATGAGTCCTTAGACTACTAACCCATGAAATTTATTTCGTGGTGTACATTTTAGATTACAAAAGAATTGATTGAGCTTGTGAAACAAGAACAAGTCATTTCTGGAAGGGAAATCCTTTTTAGTATGCAGACAAGAGACGGACGTTTACCAAAGTTAGAACAGTGCTCCTTTGGTTAAAAGGGAATGATTAAGGTACAAGAGAAAGCACTTTGGAGTGTCAGGCAGCAGTGTTAAGGTCAAGTGGCAGCTTCTGCCATTAGTGACACGTGCTATGCTGCAAGACACTTCACACGTGAGTCTCAATTCCCTTACCTGTAAAATATGTGAATTCTCCAATTAATCGTCCCCTTTAAAGATGTTACTCACTGGTTTTGATTTTTGGTTCTCTGGGGTGTGTGTGTGTGTGTGTGTGTGTGTGTGTGAAATTCAGGATAGGTAAATCTACAGAGATAATAATTGGATTAATGGTTTCTTAGGAGGAAATGGGGAGCTAACAACAATAAGTACAATAAAGAAGAAAATGTCCCAAAATTGATATGGTAATGATTATACAGCTCTTATTGATATGATTGAACTATTAGAGTGCAAGATATGTGGATTATGTGCCAATAAAAATTTTTTTTGTTTTTTTTAAAGCAAGAGGTTTGAACTGAAGTTCAATGACTTCAAAATCCACAACCTTGGGGTCGCAGTCCCACTCTTCTCTCACTACAATGCCACAGGTTTAAGTCCAAACGAGTCTATTCATTTCTTTAATCTGCAATAGGTACGTTTAAGATAAAGTCCAATTTACTTAGTGGGTTTTCCAACTCAGCTCCTTTTGACGTGGCCTATGTAGTATACTGTATACCTGGAGAAGATAAAATCTAAAGTACAGGTCACCTGTAGTATGGGCCTAGGCCACCAAGGTGGAAGAGGAACTCAATTCAAAAAGTCATGATTAGCCAGATAGTACAGGACGTGATTGAGAGGGCAGCCTGGCCCTCTGGCTAACCAGTCCCAAGCAGTCCACAGAGCAGCCACTGCCTGGGAACGGCAAGTCAGAGGGAAAGAGGGAACACCAGTCACAGCAGAGAGGCCTGCGGAGGCTCTGCCCATCAGCTGAATGCCCAAGGTCACACTTGTAGACACGCCTGAGTCCACACTGCCTCATCCCTGAGCCACTGCATTTCCCCAGTGACTGAGTGGGCACTCTCCCTCGGCCTTGTGGGTAGCCCGAGCAGAGCCACTCGAGGGCAGGTCTGTGCTCTTCGGATGAAGCCCGAGCAAGAGGCCACTACAACGTGTGGCTACCCAGCAGCAGAGGGCCACTGGGAGGACTGGGGTCCCTGTCCACCTACAAGCTCGTGCTGGCCAGGAGCCCGCTCTCTGGCTTGCTCAACCGACACACCTCCTCCCAGGTGTAGTTGGCCAGGTTCACGGGCTGAGTCACTCACGGGTCTTCTACTAGCGCCTCCAGGGTGGTGCATTGCTTGGGCACGGGCTGCAGCAGCCCTGACACCAGGCGCATGAGTTCTGCAGACACCACAAACGGGGGGTTCAGCACGGCCTCCACCGTCTCCTCCAGCTCAGAGAAGGGGTTTTCCTCAAAGATGAGAGTGTACAGTGTGACTCCCAGCGACCACATCTCTAGCTCTGAGCCCCGGCACCGGTTCCGCAAGAGGACCCCGGGCGCGCAAAACTAGATGGTGCCGCAGAAGGTGTAAAACACTGCCGCGCTCCAGGTAGGCAGCCGAGCAGAAGTCAATGAGCTTGATAGTGAAGTCCTCAGCGATAACGATGTTCTCATCCTTGATGTCCCGGTGCACGATGCCCTGGGAACGGAGGTATCCCACCACCGACACCAACTGCCAGAAGATATAGCTCGCCAGGGGCTCGTCCAGGCTGGGGTGGCGGTCAATGAAGGCGAAGAGGTCCAGCCCGGAGCCGTGCTTCTCCATCACCAGCTGGAAGAAGCCTTGGTTCTTGAACATGTCCAGCACCTTGATGATGTTGGCGTGGTCCACCCTGAAGAGGATGGCAATCTCCAGGGTCACTCTGCCCAGCTTGGAGTCCTCCACCCACTAGTCCTCCAGCACCTTCTCCTCCCGGATAAACTTCACCACCACCTCTAGGTTTTCCTCCTTATGCAGGGCGGTCCACACAAAACCAAAGGCCCCACTGCTGAGCGGGCGCAGCGCGCTGTACTTATGGAAGTACACGCCCTCGCAGGCCTCCAGCCCCTCCAGCTCGGCCACCATAGGAGACTCCTCAAACCAGGGCTTGGCTCTAATCACCTCGCCCAAGCTGGGCCCGGTCAGCCCAGCCATGGAGTGGGTAGAGCTGGGCAGGCTGGCCAGCAGCAGGCGGGTGCGAGCCACCGCATCCCACGGGCTGTGCAGCAGGCCCTTCACCAGCCAGCAGCAGAAGAGCGTGGTTGCCCCACGGAGCTCCACGCGCGGCACCTCAAACTGCACACTCAGCCTCGAGCCGTCCCGGTGGTAGCAGCTGCCCACGTAGGTGCCCTCCTGGATCTCTGGGAAGGAGCCAGTGGTTCCTGGGGTGGGGTGGGGGTGGGGTGTATGCTCCCCTCGCAGTGGGGTGGAGGCCGCCTGGAGGCCGAGCCCCAGCTGGTCTGTGTGCAGCAGCGTGTCCCCAGGGCTGGGGCCTGGGGGTAGGGTGGGCAGCAGCCGGGCATCGGAGGGGCGGCTACGGGACTTGGAGAGGCTGAAACTGGAGGCATGTCAAGTGTTTTCCCCAAGGGAAATCTGCCTTCTCCCGCCCACTCACCAACAGGAGTGAGGTCATCTTCTTAGAGAAAGACATAACCCCTCTTCACTTGGTCATGAATCTCCACCAGAGTGTACCAAACACAGATGTAGGAGTGCCCACCTAGTAAGGATGACTGTAGGGCATTGCTACAGGGCAGGAACTATTTAGTCCTTTTTCATTCCCCACTTAACGAGAAACTATCCCCTAGTGAGGTTAAGCCTCCCCTGGAGAAGTGATTTTCATGATGTACTAATAAGGGAGTGATAAATGAGTTACAAGGGTTAGACAGTCATAACATTCCCATTGCCTTGAAGGTCAGATGGAAAACTGTGTGACTTGAGAGCCAATGACTGTCTTTGTCTTGGTGTTTGTCCTTATAGCAGTAGTCTCTTACAATATTGATCTTTTTTTGGTTGACTAACTTTGGTCAGAGTAACATTCTCCAGGTACAACCATGTTATGAAGTACTCTATGGTTTCACCTTTGTTTCTTAGTAATGTATAGGATTTCATTGTGTGTACATACCAGATTGCTTTATCCATTCTTCTACTGTTGGGATTTTGAGCTGTTTCCAACTTTTTGCTCGTGTGGACTGTGCTGCAATGAACATGTGAATACATGCATCTAGTCCTGTTCTCTCCCATACTTCTTTAGGGTAAATATCCAGCAAAATTTTAAAAATTCTATCATGCAATCTTGAGCTTTGCTTCTATCACTATGGTCATATTTTTAAACTACTATTCCTTTCTCTTTGTTTCCAAACTTTCACATTTCAATGGTCATTAATTATCAATGGATCTTGGTTGCATGCTTGATTAATTTCTGACTGAAGTAGTGGTTGTTAGGTTGTTAGGTGACATTGAGTGAGTTCCAACTCATAGCGACCTGGTGGACAACAGATAAAAACACACTCCCTGGTCCTGTGCCATCCTCACAACTATGCCCTTTCTTGAGCTCATTGATGTAGCCACTGTGTCAAACCATATCGAGGACATTCCCTCCTTCATTGCTCGTCCACTTTACCTAGCCCGATGTCCTTCTCCAAAGACTGGTGGTCTCTCCTGACAACATGTCCAAAATATGTAAGACAAAGTCTCGCCATCCTTGCCTCTGAGGAGCACTCTGGCCATACTTCTTTCAAGACAAAATGGTTTGTCCTTTAACAGTCAAAGGTACTGTCAACATTCTTTTCCAGCACCACAATTCAAATGCATAAATTCTTCTTGGGTCTTCTTTATTCAAGGTCCAACTGTCACATGCATATGAGGCAATTAAAATACTATGACTTGGATCAGGTATACCTTAATTCTCAAAGTAACATCTTTGCTTTTCAATACTCTGAAGAGGTCTTGTGTAGCAGATTTACCTGCTGCAATATGTCTTTTGATCTCTTGACTGCTGCTCTTAATGAGCATTAATTGTGGACACAAACAAGACAAAACCCTTGACAACTTCAACCTTTTCACCATTTATCATGATATTACTTATTGGTCTGTTGTGAAGATGCTAGTCTTTTTTATACTGATTTGTAATGCATATTGAAGGCTGAAATCCTTGATCTTCATCAGCAAGTGCTTCATCACGTCTTCCTCATTTTAAGCAAGGAAGGTTGTATCTTCTGCATAATGCAGATTGTTAATCAGTTTTCTGATGCCATATTCTTCTTCATATAACCTAGCTTTCTGATTATTTGCTCAGCATACAGATTGAGAGAATACAGCCCTGACACAAACCTTTCCTAATTTTAAACCCTGGAGTATTCCTTTGTTCTGTTCTTGCAACTGCTTTGTGATCCATGTACAAGTTCTGCATAAGCACTTGAAGTGTTCTGGAATTCCCATTCTTCTCAAGGTTACCCATAGTTTGTTATGATCCACACAGATAAATGCCTTACAGGTAAACATCTTCCTGGTATTCTCTGCTTTCAGCTAAGATCCATCTGACTTCAACAATGAGAGAGGCTTTAAGATGGCACCAAGGTAAGCAGCCCATAAGGGGAGCTATGGTGAGTCTGGTGTCCAGAAGGTCAAATGGTAATGTTCTGGTGAGTGGAAAGGTAGGTCCCCACAAGTGGCCCTCCCTGTCCAGGACATGGCCCTCCCCTGCATCTGCTGTTTCAAGCCCCAGAGATCTGGGTCCTCATACCATGGATTTCCTGCAGGCTGTGTGACCCTTGTGCACCTCGATCACCACCAGTCGGTGCACCCCCATCCCCCATCCACCCCCTGGCCTGGTTACCGCCCCAGGAATAGGATGGCTATCGTGTAGAGCTCCCAAAGGCCAGGCCTAACCACCACATAGCAGCACCACATATGTGGCTCCCACCTGGGGGAGCTGCGCATGTCGCCCATGGTTACCCTCCCTCCACAGGCTAGCAGCAATTCCGCCTGCAAGCTCTGGTTCCTCCCAGTAGCCATCCAGGGCGCCAGGGCCTAACCCGCAGCAGGTTTGATTGTTTGTGGCTGGGCGCACCCAGCACCAGTGCCTGGGTCACCTCCACCCCACTCCCATGCAGTGGCATCTGCCCTGTCAATGAGGAACAGCCCTTTACACTTCCAGGGAGCCTCAGTTCATCATAGCCCCAGCATCTCACCATCCATGGGGAGTGGAGTCTGCACTTCCCATCTACCATTTCCCCATCACTGCTGCTTCTGGGAGGCCCGTCCTCCAAGCCCATCACACTGCGCTGTGCCATGCCTCAGCTGGAAGGAATCATGTTAAGCGAGGTAAGCCAAAAGCAAAAGGACAGGTATAACACGAGTATGCTGAGGTAAGTATAATCAACACGCCAGGAATAGAAGAATAAACACCTATCTCATAATAAATGGTGGAAGCATAGACAGTTGGAGGGAGGGCAGGTCACACCTAGGGCGGTACATGAGAGTCCAACATAAAGAAGGGGAAGGGGGAGCAAGTGGAGGGAGAAGCAGGGTGGGGAGAAACTGAGTTGATGGCA